CCAATCACTTTGATCATAAATATGTCGATGAGAAAAAATATGCTGCACATCATCTATATCACCGACGACTATTGCATGTAAAAATCCGAGATTAATCTCATAAATATCACCAAGTTGATTTTTGAACGATGTATAAACTTGTAAAATAGAAGTTCCACGTAATAGTCCCGATTGAAGTAAATTTCCAAATAAAAAATGTCCTGGTATACTTGGAATTGAACGACGAGAAGTAAAATGTTTATATTTTACATATAATACGAGTAGACTGACAAAAACAAGCGTCAGTATGACAAACATCGCTAATGTATACTAGAATATCAACATCGACGCATTTATAAGAAACAATACTTATCTACACACGTGCTTGCTTCTTTTTTTTCTTCTTTCTCCTAGCATGATAACAAAATAGCAAAACCTATGCTATCGACGTGCATGGGCAGCAGACTACTATCATATTATTCGGGGATGGAAGGAGAATTACTATTTGCCAATCTCGTTCTTCTATAACTCAACAGTTCTATGATGCAGGACGTACTCCATGATTGTCGTTCGATAATTTTCATATTTCGTATAAAAATCTTATGAATGTTGCAGGAGCTGACAACGATTGGAACTTGATCAACATTGGGAAAAATCAAGTTGGATTTTTATGATAAGTTTTTGTCATTTTTATGTTCCACAAAACTCGGAATTTTTTTCCCAGGAATGATGATAAATATATGGGTGTGAGTGTGAGAGATAAGGTTTCCGTATTCATACCTACACCCACACCCTTTCCTGAACCTATATTCACAAATGTTTCGAAGGTGTCGTTAGCGGACATTTGTTGTTCATTTGAACATGAATTTCCGACATATGGATTTTCCAAAATATTTGTGCACAATACAGTATTTATAAAAAGTGTCTATAAGCTAACCTATTGGTATCTCGAAGATAATTTATCCAGAAATTCTAAAACTTTGTAGGCAAGCTGATCTGATTGAGATCTCAATGTATATGAAGTTTTGGGTAAAAATTCGGAATTTTGATTTTACCGAAAAAGTCAAGTCATATATGAAGATTGCAGTAAAAAATCGATATCTCAGCCAAATCGTAACTTGGATCCATATTCTCTTAGTATTTCTCTAGTCTATACATCCCCTACTCACGAGCAACATTTGAGCGCAAAAGCTTTTTAGCACTACTGAAGCTATCTTAATATTTCAAATAGATAATCGAAGTGTGTAAGAATGGAACGATACATCGATCAAGTTGAACACCATTGAATTATTGTAGAGAATCAATCTTTATTGTTTTCTGAAGATTAATTTCGTTTAAGAATTTATCTTTGAAAAAATTATATTTAAAGAAAATTTACTTGTTAATGTTTTCTTTCTTCTCTTTGTATGTGTATGTGCTTGTTGACTGTGTGGAAGAAAATGTGGCATAGAAAAGAGAATTGAAAGATTGGCTAGAACACGAGTTGGAAGAAAAACAGACATTGAAAATGTTCTTGTGAAATAACAATATGGAGAGTATGTACTTTCACAATCAAGGATCAATTGTGTGTGTGTAGGCACAACATTTTTTTCTTTTTTCATGACATTCTTCATCAATCAATATTCTTTTTTAGAAAATAAATAATGAAGATGTACATAGTCCTATTATCCTATCGACAAACTACTCCTGTGGATGTAGAGGCGAATCACCAACGAATAGAGATCTTCTGAAGCTCACTGATCAACAAGTATGCGTCATCTATGGACCGACTCTTTTCGCATTAAAGTATCGAGTTCTTCCGTGCACAGTTACTGAAAGTTCCCAGGGATCTTCAGGCGACTATGATGACATTTATACTTACAATCTGTGTGGTCAATTTTCAGCGTACAGTAGAGTACGACAATGGTCTGGAAAACGAAAACAAGGAGGCATGTACCATGCAACGAGGTTAGTTATTTACTTTGAAATTGTGCATAAAAATTATTTGTTAACTATTATGTTTTTTTATTTCAAACAGTTCTTTACACTTTCTTATCAACGAATACAAAGCAGATCCAGACACGTTTATCTACGATTGGACATACGATACGTTTGATAAAAATTCTGTTATATCGAAAATATACGTAGTCTTGGGAAATTATCTCTCTGGTAAAAATGAATTAATTGATTCTTTTTTAACAAGTTTAAAACAACTTATCCTTAGATCTATCAATCATTGCTAATAGCATTAATTTTGATACGAGTTACTCAAATGAAATCTTTCTTACAAAGATTATGCCATTCAATTTTCTTCGATTGATTGTATATAGTCTATCAGAAAAAAAATGTACTCTCTTTCGAATATATATTTTCTATTCAGATTTACAATTTGAGAAAATCAATAAATTTCAAATATTTTATTTCTCGAAATTTTTCTCCTTATGGAAATAAATTCGACAAAATTTCACTCAAGAATCGCATAGATTCTAAAGTTTCAGCTGACAATCGAAAGCTTTCAAATTAAAACTCTTGTTTGTAAATAATATTTTTGTGATGTGTGTTCCAATAAAATCGCATATATGTTTAAATCGCGTTGATAATAATAGGTAGCATAAACATTAATTAATTAAGTTTTTCTTACAAGTGAAAACTATGAACAACGGAAGATTTTCAGAGGTTTTTCATCGATCGATTAAAGAATATTAAGCGAGAAGAAGAAGAGACTAGTCATACTGCTGATCTTCAGTTAATTCGTGATTAGATGAAGACAGATAAACAGTAAATATTTTCAAAAAGAAAAGTTTTTTATTCAATAATTAATAAATGAACTTGACTTTATTAGAAAGGCTTCTGAAAAAAAATCGAATAATTAAAACTCGATTTGATGAATTCTTATAAAGAAGCAATATATGTTAATAGCTCAATTATATTTTAGTGCAATTCAGTGGTGGTTCTATAAGTCCCACAAGTGTTGATAATCCGAACAATCTCGAATCAGATCACGATGACAAGACTTTCAATTGTTTTGCTTCTCTTCAGGTAAAATTTCATTTGAGGTTTATCATTTTAGATTGTTTTTCTTTTTCCCAAATTAAATGTTATATGTTGCAATCAATAAACGTTGTTATTTCGACACATTCAAATCTTTGCTCATAGTATCCAACTGACTATAAAACTTGTTTAAACAAATTTGTTTTTTTTGTTATTTGTCTGATCGATCATGATCGTTGATTTCAAATATTATATGTTTAGTTGATAAAGAATAGAAATATGAATCATTTTGAAAGGTTTTCTATTGACAAATTTAACTTGAAAACATTCGATGAATTTTTTTGTAACCTATAGAGAAAATTTTCATACCCAAGATGAAACTACACTGACTTTCTAATATTAGAAATTGCAGCAAAATGTGGGACGTATGAATATGTATACTCAGACGCATAATTTTAAGCGAACTCTTTGTAACCTTTATTTATCGATCTGAAATTTTTACTATGAGACATTTCGAGTATATAAATTCGAAGGATTTCCAGTGGCAGCTAGGTGTAGTTAATTGGATCACATAGACAACATATGGTGAAGCTATTCGAAGTAAAAGAATAACTCTTTCGAAAGTATTTCTTGAGCGTTCATAGAAGCTATTCATCTGTAAATCGAAACAATAAAAAAAAAAGAATATTAACTTTGAAATAATTCCAAAGGGAAAATGCACTTATACCTTTCAAATGTTTATTTTTTATTCTACAGAAATTACTGTTCAATTCCAAATATCAAGATGATTTATATATCTGTAAACGTCTGCATGAAGTATAAACATGTAAGACTGTTTCGTATTAATCTATTGTATCGAGGAGATATATGATATAAATTCTGATTAAAAAGTTGAAAAACTTCTAATAATCAGATTTTTGAAAGTCTATCATCAGAAAAAATATTTCTTGTTTACATTCAGGTGTTCCACGTATCACAAACGGCAGAACGTGCACGAATCTTATTGCAACAATTGTCGAAATTTAAATTATTTCCAGTAACTGAGGCTACTCTACAAATGGATGTGGGTGTGGATGTAGCTGGATAGTTGACCCTCACCCACACCCACACCGTTATTTGAATATTGTTTTTTTTGGGCGTTAATGAATGTACATGTATTTGGTATACGGGAGATACTGAGTGTTTAAAGTGTTAGAATAAATTACTAATACCCAAATAAACATGTCTTAGTGATAATCTATATAAATTTGGAATAAAACTTCTTCCAATAGATAAATTATGATAGAGACGTGACATATTTTGAATTGTTGCAATGTAAGAATGAGTTTTCAACTATCGACCACAAGCGTGGTATTAGAATACAACGAGTGAGTGATGCATTGACAAATTTTGACGATCGTAAAGAAACATTCAACTTTGATTCAATACAAGGATCTATCATCAGCCAAAATTCGAGTTGTTGTAATTAATTTATTTCAACTCAAATATTGGTCATGTATATTGTATGTACACAGAGAATGTCTTGATCACATGGGTTCATGGTCTTATGTGGAGGACAGCAACTTCCATATCGAGAAAATGATGGTGGATAAATTAGCACTACGGCCATTGTGTTCTTTCTCTTTTTAGTGTGAAGATGGTAATCAGAACTACGATTCATCAATAACATTTTTACACAATCACACGACTCTTTCGAATCTCAAGTCATATAAAACTTTCCACTCATACATCTTAATATTTGTTGATCGTTCTGACTTTGAAACATTCTTTGTGAAATTTTTATATGTTCAATAAATAGGTTGGATGTTTAATACATGTCTTTAATGCTCAATTAAATTAATATTTCTCTATAATTAAAGCTTTTGTTAAGTTTGATAAATAATACACAGATAAAATATTTTATTATCAAGCTGATAAATTGGATTTATAGTTAATTAAGATAAGATAAGGTACCAACTGGCAGTTGATGATGTGGTTTGTACATTTTTCTCTCTTTACATAGATTTCATCTTTATTATCTTTTGGTCTGATGTCATGTTTGAATACACTCACCGTCTTGGAAATGTAGACAACAAATTAAAAGGCATGACAATTAGTGAAATAAGAAATGAAATACTAAATGATGAAACGAAATAAATTTTTTTATTTTTTGGCTGCGACGGTCCTTATGTGTTTTTGAAAATTTTCATTTATATTCGAATTCGAATTAGACAACGACTTTCAAAATCAGTGTTACAGATATTATCTAATAAAAGGTTTGGCTGATTATTATATACCAGCTGGTGCGGCAGAGAGTATTACAAAAAATGAAATTTACAGTATAAAAAAGAAAAAATGGATACGATTTG